GGGTACATACTAGGTGTATATATTCATGAGGTACATGAGATATTTTGATACAGGCATACAGTCCATAATAATCACATCAGAGTAAATAGGATATTCATCACCTCAAGCATTTATTCTTTTTTTGTGTTGCAAACAATCCAATTATGCTCTTTTAGTTATTTAAAAATGTACGATAAATTATTGTTGACTGTAGTTACCCTGTTGTGCTACCAAATACTAGATCTTATTCATTCGATTTAATTACATGGTCATACTCATTAACCAACCCCACTTCTTGCTCATCCCCAGCTACCCTTCCCAGGTTCTGGTGACCATTATTCTACTCTCCGTCTCCATGAATTCAACTTTTACATTTTTTAGTTCCCTCAAATAAGTAAGAACAATGCAAAGTTTGTCTTTCTCTGCTTGGCTTACTTCACTTAACATGATGACCTCCATTCTATCCATGGTGTTGCAAACAACAGTTCTATTTAAGACTGAATAGTATTCTACCATGTATATGTACCATATTTTCTCTTTTCTTTTTTGAGACAAGGTCTCTTACGCTGTCACCCAGGTTGAGTGCAGTAGTGTGATCATGACTCATTGCAGCCTCGATCTTCAGGGCTCAAGTGATCCTCCCATGTCAGCCTCCTGAGTAGCTGGGACCACAGGTGTGAACCAGCATGCCTGGCTAAATTTTGTACTTTTTGGAGATGTTACCCAGGCTGATCTCCAGCTCCTGCACTCAAGTGATCTGCCTGCCTTGGCCTCCCAAAGTGCTGGGATTACAGACATGATCCACTGCACCCAGCCCACATTTTCTTTATCCATTCATCTGGTGATGGACACTTAGGTTGCTTCCAAATCGTGGCTATTGTGAATAGTGCTGCGATAAGCACGGGATTAAAGGTATCTCTGTGATATACTGATTTCCTTTCTTTTGATATATATCTAACAGTGGAATTGCTGGATCATATGGTACTTCTATTTTTAGTTTTTTGAGGAGCCTCCAAACTGTTCTCCATAACGGTTGTAACAATTTACATTTTCACCAACAGTGTACGAGGGTTTCCTTTTCATCCTTGCCAGCATTTGTTATTGCCTATCTTTTGGATAAAAGCCATTTTAATTAGGGTGAGATGATATCCTATTGTAATTTTGATTTTCATTTCTCTGGTGATCAGTAATGTTGAGCACCTTTTCATATACCTGTTTGCCATCTGTATGTCTTCTTTTGAGAAATGCCTATTCATATCTCACGACCATTTTTAAATGGGATTGTTAGATTTTTTTTTTCCTGTAGAGTTGCTTGAGCTCTTTATATAATCTGGTTATTAATTCCTTGTCAGATGGATAGTTTACACATATTTTCTCCCGTTCTGTGGGTTGTCTCTTCACTTTGGTTATTGTTTCCTTTGAGGTGCAGAAGCTTTTTAATTTGATGTTATCCCATTTGTCTGTTTTTTCTTTGGTTGCCTGTGCTTACAGGGTATTTTTCAAGAAATCTTTGCTCAGTCCAGTGTCCTGGAGAGTTTCCCCAATGTTTTCTTGTAGTAGAGTTATAGTTTGAGGTCTTAGATTTAAGTCTTTAATGCATTTTGATTTTATTTTTGTATATGATGAGAGAGAGAGGTCTAGCTTCATTCTTTTGCATATGGACATTCAGTATTCCCAGCACCATCTATCAAAGAGACTGCCCTTTCTCCAATTTATGTTCTTGGCCCTTTGTTGAAAATGAGTTCAGTGTAGATGTATGGATTTGTTTCTGGGTTCTCAATTCTGTTCCATTGGTCTATGTGTCTGTTTTTATGCCAGTACCATGCCATTTTAGTTACTATAGCTCTTATAATTTGAAGTCAAGTAATGTGATTGTTCCAGTTTTGTTCATTATACTCAGGATAGCTTTGGCTATTCTGGGTCTTTTGTGGCTCCATGTAAATTTGAGGATTGTTTTTCTGTTTCTGTGAAGAATGCCATTGGTATTTTGATAGGGATTGCATTGAATCTGTAGCTTGCTTTGGGTAATAAGGGCATTTTAACAATATTGATTCTTCCAATCCATCCATGAACATGGAAAATTTTCTCATTGTTTATACCCTTTTCAATTTATTTCATTGGTGTTTTATAGCTT